GTGTCCCAGTGAGTGCATGATAGGGCTTCATGTGGACTAAAAACCTGTTACTAAAACATCTTAAGTAGTTGGTAAATTAACATTAAAACGCCAACCACTGTTCTGGCCGACACTGATAGAGGCGAATAAGCGAATTCCAGGAGCCAGTTCAGAAGAACATGTGGCCGCTGAAACAAGAGGTTTATTCAAATATTTTGGATTTTCTTTCGAACTCACCATCAAAACAAGTCTCGGATAAAAGGTAATAGAGATTAGAGTAAGAATTTGAAATCTCAGCCCAATAAACTTCTCGTTCGCGCCATCGCATCTCCTCCTTCTGAATTGAACGATACGTTATTTTCCTTCGATATATTTGTCGAAACGTGTATAAAAACATTGTTACTGAGACAGTGTGTATTATGATTGGTTGCGTTTAATGCTCAAATTTGATGATGCAACAGGCGGCTTTACTTCGACAATGTTGTCGTAATTTGATTTCAGCCTCTTCTAAATAACACAAATCTAGCTGGACGAACTTTGCACACCTTACCTAGTATTAGATTTTTTGTTTAAATCTGAAATATTTTTAAGGTTCTGATAGGGAAAAATGAGCTCTCAATGGAAGCTCCACCTTTTTGCGGGGAAAGCAAACATTTAAAAGGCGGACGCCATAATGTTAATGAATATATTCTCACTCATCGTACACAGAATTAAGTTCACTGGTTCTCGGTGTGTATTTTGTGTGAATCTTTTTTCGCAGATGACCCCTTTACCCGTGTAAATTTAGAAGGGTTTTGTGTGAGGTTTGCTTTAAATATTCCCGAACTAATCTACTGCCGAAGCCAATGTGTTTAATTTTTTGCATGATATAGATTTCCTCTACTTTTCTACCTTATTGTTTTCGTTTAGCTTTCTATCCCTCTTCGTTTAACTGTTTTTTCAGCCCTCTAGACCACTTAGTGTTTACTTTTGAAAAGTACCTCTTACCTTTAGAAGTTCCTCTCTAACTTGACAATAGTTTCAAAAAGAAAATATAAGAAATGCGAGCATTGTAGCTTTTATTCGCAAATAGCTACTTGCGTGCAGTTTCAGTACTGCTCAGAGTGACACAGCTTTCCGTGTCAATTATTAACACATTCTACGCGCGGACTGACAAATCGGTTTGCGAATTGCGCCCTGGCTTCAAAGAAGGAAGTACGGAGGTAGGTCTTCCCCATCCAAACGGAAGGGTGGGGGGATAATGCACTGGATTTGAGGTAAGTGCGGCTGCCTGCGATGTTAGAACTTAAGACTGCGAAAGCTGTGATAGCCAACCGACCGATGTGGGCTGACTGGAAACCTAGGTGAACGCTAGGAAGGGGTGGCGGCGGAGGTATACCGTCGCGAAGGAAGACAAAGCCTGAAAGGTAATGCTAAGAGTGCACCAGGTGACCGGAGTCGGTCTATCGTAGGAATGACGTCGAGCAGGATCCTTGGGTTAGGCATAAAGCCCTAATCCGTGAATGCCAATTGGGTGGTGAACTTCAGAAAATGGGTGCAAAGCCGTTCCGTCATGGAAGAAGAAGGGAGGGTGGAGTTTATTCAGGACACCACAGAGCATAGCTCCACGGACAGGGAATGCGTGCACTGACTGAAGTAAGCCAAGGTCTACTCAGGTGTGTAGAGTAAGCAAACAAACAGTGGGTTGGTAGGAAGCCGGGGAGTTGGGCTGGGAGGGACTGGGTTTAAAGAGAAAGCAGCGGCACAGGAAGACGAAGCCGAATTACCAACCAATTGCAACAGTAGGTAAGGAAGGCGGACGTACGCGAGAAGCCTTAGCATGAAGGCCCGATCGGTTGATCGGAGATGGGTAGGGTGTACAGGAAAGCCTGTGGCGCTCTGCCCCTAAGAGGACTTTCACGAAGGAAGATAAGAAGCATATTCCGGAAGCGAAAACAGCAATAGTAAAATATTATCATTTGAATTGATAAGTGGTCTTTATTTATAATAGAAGCCTACTTGCATCTGTTCAGTAGCCTTTTTAAGTTTATTTGTCGCGCTATGTTCCATCGCCCTTATGTCTTCTCTGAAAATTCAACCTAACCCATCTACCTCACAAAACCTATCAAGACACTGTATTCTGAATTTAAATCTTTTCAATAAGAAGTAATATTACCAGTACCCTAATAATGTGTAACCGTTTCGTGCTTGCATTTACTCTAGTTGTGCTGGTTCACTCTAGCTGAAGTTCATTGAGGTTGCCTGAACGTATGCTTTTGTGCCAAAACCATCATATTCAAATACGCAGTTGTAAGAACTATACTAATCATATTTTTTTCAATCGTTGTATTCAAAAACGTAAATTCCGAGCTTTGCCTTTCTCAAAAGGTATCTGCATTTTATGCACGCAATTGTTACCTCCTCCCTCCCTCTCTCAACAGCGCGAGTTTCTCTCCTGCTACCCCCTATCCGACCGTCAACATGGCGGTGCCGTTGACAAGTCCATTCTATGGCGTTTTCTCAGCCTCCGCCTGCCGCTTTTTCATGCCTCTGTCCGGGCTCTCCTCGAGCGTCAGCTTATCGAACGGGTTGACTATCTCCTTACCCAACCCCCTTCTACCGCCTGGATGCTTGACGCAGTAAGTCTGTTTTTTCCCCGATAGTACCCGCGCTTTTCATAACAGAAGTTGATGATTGAATGTCTTTGCGTTGGGAGAAATTGAATTTCAGTTGCTTAAAATTGTGAAGATCACCACGCTGGCATGCTGGTCCCCGATTCTAAATTTCTCCTTTTTTTTCTCCATCTCTCTCTCTCTCTTTCTCTCTCCCTCTCTCCCAAGCTACCATTTTGTTCATCGCAGTCGCAGAGAGGTGCTGCTAGGTTTTTTTACAACACGAGGATAGCCAACCAAAATATATAGTAAACCGGACTGACCGAAGATCAGTCATAACCAAAAATCATGCAGGGAACTTCGTCGCTTGTCATCTCTGCGGTCGGCTGAATTGGACATGTTCAGGGTGCAGTCAATTACCACGCCGTTGTACTCGTAATTTCTGACACACTTGTGAAATTAAGGCAAATGTTCGCATCCCAGGAATGTGTATAGAAGACGAAGACGTTTCGATCACTTGAGTCATAATTTTATTCTTCTGAGCTGAGTTGAGCTGGCTGTGATGCATTGTCATAAGTGGCTGCTCACATCTTTTGAGACGGGCCACGAATTCAACTTCGCAGCCGCGAGGATAATCGCTCACGCCGGCGACAGGACAGGAAGAGAATTCTTTCAAGTCTTGACCTTGGATGAAAACTCAGTCAACCGATTGTCGAGCTGGCGCCCGCATACATCGTCCTCCGCAGGCATATCCGCACTGCCGACCCTGGTGATAAATTAGTTTCCTCCCCCCGTCGCCCCCATAACGGTTGGTTGGCTCCTGC